AGCAGATGTCCCTCAAGAATATCTGTGTACCGCTCACTGTTCATATTCCCTTCAAATACACAGAGGGGCGTTGCCCCTAACACAGATATGCCACCCCACACGTTAAATTTCGGACTGTACTTTGGGTGCTGATACAAAGGTTTTTCAGTTTGTTTGGTCCAGAATTTCAGTGTATTAGGAAACAGCCACACAGAACTTTCATCTGAGAAAATCACATTGTCCCAGTTACAATTTCTATGCTGTAAGCACCAGTTCAACCTTCGCTCCTTTTGTTCAGGTTTCATGATTGGTGATGGAATTCCTCGACTTTTCTGCCAACCCATTGCATGCAGCTCAGTTCTAATTGTCTCCTTACAGACAGCCACAGTTCAAAGGGGGATAACTCTTCACAAACTAATGAAAAAGGTTTAACGAAGTTGTCTCTCTTGAATGAAACCAAGCACTTGATAGATGGTCAAGGTTGTTTATACTAGAAATCCAATAAACATATTCCTAAAATTCTTGATAATTTCTGGTCATACTATATATATGCTAAACGTGCGGTGGGGCATATAGTATTAGGCTCCATCCCTGTCCGTACATACAATTGGAATATCACAAGAGCAGTCTACTAGATTCTTTTCATATTGGGTACCTAGATCCATCACAGTATGAGAAAGGTCCCAGTCATGTTCGGTGACCTTAACCTTCATTTCAAGGTCACAAGGGGACTTTTTACCCTTGTCAGCGAGATATCTCAAGAACCATTCACTACATTTTCTTCATATGCGACACCAGGCTTCATCTAGGGAAGACACAGGGCCCATTTGATTTTGGTGACCTTCACATAATTTTCAAGGTCACAGCGACACTTTGAAGATTTCAGCATGCTAACCTGCATGTTAAGATTATCAGCAAGATATCTCAAGAACGGTTCGCCGGATTTTCTTCACAGACTTTCAAGACTTCTCTTCAATGTTTTTGATAAGCAATTTCTTTATTACTATATTTGTATATTTCATACACCATGACATTCATGTCAAGGTCAAAGTGACTCTTGACAATCGACAGAGCAAGATATCAAGATAGGTTGACTGGTCATGTTTTTGTTGACATTTAACTTCATCTTAAACTACAACCTTCACTGTCATTACGTTTTTGGTTTGATTTGATAATATGCCGTGGGGGATTATGTCACCTTAGAGACAATGCTTGTTGATAATAACATAGCTATAAAAGCTTAATTTAGATGTGATATAAGTGATTCAAGTCAAATTGGTGTAAAGAGACATTCAGATATAGTCACTTCCAATACAGATAAATATAAGAATACTTTACATCTAACCTGTACACTTGTTGAACTTCCAAATAATGACATGTAATATCTAAAATACTTGGCAATCAGCATTATCTCACAACTACAATGAAACATTTTAGTGATAGCGAAATCAGTACCCAAATTAAAAAAATCATCCGTTTTGCACGAGCTTGTTTCAAATATGCTTTTCCAATGAATCAGAGCTTATAAGTTTTCTAATCCACACAAGTTTGATCGCTTGACATAGGCAAATATGTTTATCATTCTTAAACCCCCTTCTTTAATGGGTTTACACACAAGGACCCTCTTTATTCTATCTGGTTTGTTATTTAACAAAAAAACTGAAAAGAATAAGACAAAGCAAACTGAGGTATAACATATTTTAATGTGGTTGGCTCATCAGCTTTAAGATTCTTTAGACTTTATTTGGGTATACATACTGACAGTATGGTACAATGAACATATCACTGCACAATAGATTAAATAACATAGTAAACACATATGACACACATAAACAATCAATGAACAATATATACTAGCCACATAAAGAAACTGTGCATTGTCAAAATATTATCCCAGTTGATAAGTACGATAACAATGTCAAAGGTACATATAAACTTTAATGGAGGGATCATGAGACCATAACAAGTCGGGAGAATTTCAATTGAAAAGTCAATCACAATGACGTCACGAGTCCACAAGCGGGACAGGGGTCAAACGACCTTGTCACAAGCTCAATAACGGGTATGTCCATCATCGGCATTGAGAACAGCAGTGCATCGACGAGGCATAGAGCCTATCAAACGTGTGTTGTGCCCTTAAACGCACAATGGTCTTAAGTGCACAGAAATCATGAATAAACATGAGTGGGCGGAGTCATAATTGCACTTTACTTTAATCAATCAGTACATTCATAAACTGTAGAATAAATAAAATATAATACATCTTCGTCATGACAGAGCCTGTTTTGTTACCACTATGCACACAGGGTGAGTATGTAACTTTAGGAAATTTGAGAGAGTGTGAATTCTACTCTTTTAGGTGGGGTGGGGGTAGCCTAGTGGTTAAAGTGTTCTCTCATCATGCCGCAGGCCCGGTTCGATTCCCCACATTGGTACAATGTTTCAAGTCCATTTCTGGTGTCTTCTGCCATAATATTGGAATATTGCGAAAGGTGGTGTAAAACCATACTTTTAGCAGGGTGGAGGGTTGTCTGCAGATCTTCCCTGTTGGAACTGAATTTGGTGTTTGGTAATCAATTCTTGGGTTATGTGCCATGTTCTTTATCAATAAGGCCAGACCAATGTATTTCTTGTTTTACATATTTTTGTCCTAAGAAGAATTTCTTGTAAGTTTACATTTTTGACAAATAAAAACATTAGGATTTTATTTTTTGAGCGGGGAAAATTCACTTTTATTTCTTTTCGTATTCTTGAAAAAATACAACCGGAGGATACGTAAAACAAGAAATAGAATTTGTCTGGTCTAAACTTGAAATATAGGTGTGCTTATACAGTATGCATGAGAAGCAATGTATACAGGACACCTTTAGCACAGTTTACTAAAGGTAAAAGATGCAAATGTGTTATGTGATTCTTAAGATATCTGAAGTTTAAACATTTGGGACATCTTTGAAATAGTGTGAAATGAGAGGAAGTTGGTTATGATGCCTCTATCAGTATCATACCAGTCACATCCCAATCAAGGGCATCAACTGTATATATTTGCATTGGGGTAGGGAGTCAAACCAATGCCTGTGGCGTCACATAAGTTTATGCAGCTGAACATAGACAAGCATGTTCAAGGTGAACATGTCACAGTGGACATTTTCTGTCCAAGCATAGACATCCATCAAATCCTGCATGGTGTTAGTTGTTTGTGTATTCAGAAATGTTGTAGAGCATCAGCTGACCAGATAAAAACTGACCATTGTCACATTTCCCCATAAAATGACAAAAATAAATTAGTTTTGTTAAAGATGTTTTATTACCAAAATACAGAGCAGCCTGTCTTGAAATGGGACAGGCTAGAAGAATACTATGAAATGTAATTATATGTAGTACCGAACTCATTAAGTTGGTTCAAACACATATCTTTATGTCTGTTGAAAAGACTCTTACAAACAATTGAAGTAATGTCATTGGCTCACCAACGTGAAATGTGTAAATACGTGGAGGTTACATGTATATGGCATTGAACATTACACCCATCATATTTGTGAAAATATAAACTAGTAAACAAACCAAGGTAGCTATTTGAAAATATTTTCATAAACAGAAGCATCCCCTAGACCCCATTCCTTAAAGTATTTTCAAGTGATACAAGAATAATTTAAAACCATACAACTGATTAAAATCCAACAATAACCAAGTCTATGATATTGACTTGGGGTTAGCCTATAGCTAGTGGTTAAAATGTTCGCTCATCACCCAGAAGACCCTGTTTGATTCCCCACATGGGTACAGCCCATTTCTGGTGTCCCCCGTCGTGATATTGCTGGAATATTGCTAAAAGTGGTGTAAAACCATACTCACTCACAATCACCTCAAATGTCACCTTGAATGTTGACATAGCACTAACATTAAACATGGCAGTAATTATAACCAGACATGAAAATAAGGAATACCTTGCATCATATATGAGTAATAATAAGTGAAACATGTTTTACAGCTACATGAACACTGACATCAACTTTAATATGATCATGACCAAAATCTTCAAAGAACAGGGTATCAATTGGAAAGAAGAAGGCACATGTCATGTTTAATTATGCATGTGTGAATTCCTTCTTAGAACCTGTGTTGTCTTGTGACATGAACATTTTACCAAAACAATTCCCCTGGACTAATGAAGAATAATCTCATTAATCTTTGTGTTGTAGTCATTACGGAAACAACACTGTTTCACTGGGCTGCACATCTTGTATATAAATTATTACCTTTATCAAATGATTTGGTATGAACTCATGATAGGTAACTACATTTCACAAAATGTCCTCCAGAAACAAAATATGGCAAAATCTGGAGCAACAAAAACTGACAAAGCTGAATATTTCAAGATGGGGTAATTTTCTTTTTTCTAAGACTAACAGCATACACATTAAATATTTAGATGTAACATCACATGTCAGACATTATTCACATATCATGAATTACACATATAAAACTTTCTTCGTTCTGGCAAAGGGCAACAGTTTTACATGCCTTCCGTGGCAGACATGCAGAGACTTAGTTGCCAGTATGTGCAGCCTTAATTAAGTACTAACTATCACAAAAGTAATATAACAGCCAGTATCATGAAATACAAGAAACACAGCATAACTTTACTATTCCATTGTTTACTACATGCCACATATACTAATATCAAACCATCAAATCATACTTATAAATCACATTAACTTCTTTGAGTGGCATTTTAGAAGTTGGGAAGTACAATATAGAACACACTTTATGGATAACAACTTCTTTTTATTCGTGAGTGCGACGTTTCGATACATATTCTTGTCATGCTTGACAACGGTACAAGAATCTGTATCGAAACGTCGCACTCACGAATAAAAAGAAGTTGTTATCCATAAAGTGTGTTCTATATTATAAATCACATTGTCATGCAGTGTAAAAAAATGTCACTGAAAAGGTGGTCCAATTGTTCAGCAGGACAATAAGCACAAATGGGGAACTGAAAAGCACAAAATGTTTGTGTGGGAAAATTAATGGAAACTTCTGTTCTGCTGGCAAAATAAATAAAAATTCTTGCTGAGACTATTTTACTGCTTCAAAACAGAAGATCCTTAATTTGTCTCCATTATGGAAGTGTTACTCAGCTGACATCAGAATGCCAGAACAATTATCAAAATACATCAAACAAATCAGTAAACTGCATAATGAATGCACTTGAATCATTCCTGTAGTCCATCAAGATAACTGTCATCACTTGTCGTCTACAGTGATGGGGACACCTCTTCCTGGTACTTGGTCAGCATCATATTCTGTTGATTTGCATTCTGGTTAACCTCTCGAGGTAATATGTGGCTGCTCTGAAGTACAAAAAGATAGAAGTGTTTTTATTTGTATTGAACAAACTTTATGGAGAACAACTTCTTTTATTTTATAAGTGTGACGTTTTGATTCTTGTACCATTGTGAACGAATGCTTGGACAAAGTGAACTACCATACATGTATATCATGTACCTGCATCACAATATTTGGTCATATTTGGGAAACTGTGTTATACATCAACCGAGATAAATTAACTCAGTTAATGTTTTATGCTTGTTAAAAAATAGCAACAGTCAGTTTCAATGAGATAACAATAGCATTAGCAAGCTAATTTTCTTTTGGCAGTACAAACTTAAGTCCAACAAAAATCACAAGGGGGAGGGGGGAGAGGAGTTTGATGATTTTAATGGAGAAGCATTCACGACTACCCCTACCTCCCAGAAGAAAACGGGTGACCCCTCCCCTTAAAATCATCACCGATCCCACCCCTCAAAAGAGTTAAGTGAAATCAATCAATCAATCAATCAATCAATCAATCAATCAACCAATCAATCAATCAATAAATAAATAAATAAATAAATAAATAAATAAACATCTGTGCATAAAACAAGCACCACCCTCTATTTCCACCAATTAATTTTGTCTGAAATAAAATTCTCAACTCTTTCCAAAAAATAACCTTTATGATTTGATAGAGCAAGCATTTAACGTTTCAAAAAACGATTAGGATAATTGCCTATATTAAAAACAGGTGTTTTGAAAAGTGAAAGTAATAATTGATTGTTGTGTGTCCTATAAATTCATTATTTATTGTGAATGGATGAAAGTTTGTAAACTAAGATTAAGGAAAAGTTACAGTCAAACTAGAAAAAAAGGCAAATTTTAAAATGCAGTAAAAGTTGCTTTACAAACAAAACAAACAGATTTTAGCTGTAATTATCAGTATCCGGCAAGGGGAAGTGTTTATTCATTACAATAAACTCAAAATCATAAAACATTTATTTCAAAATCTTATTAATGTGGACTTTTTCAGTTTTGTCAATTAGCAATCTGAATTGTTGGAAAAATGTCTGAATCTTTGACATTCGGGTTCTTCCTGATTATGGGTAATTAAAGCTTACTTGATGTGTAAATGTCATCTTGGTATATAACAGAATTGTTATTCTAAGTCAAAACGTAATTCAATTGTGTAGTTTGAGCAGGAGAGGAATAATTATTTTGGGTAAAATTTCAGTCCAATCACATATTAATCAACATATTCTTTCATAAAGAATAGAAAAGGTTATGGTATCTGTAAAACTGTCAGTGGATAAAGCTTCTTTAACTACAGGTTGAATAAATTGAGGGCTATACCCTAACTTTTCTGAAGCATGACATCTAATAAATAAATAAATAAATAAAAAAACCAATGTAACAATAGCCATAAATAATGAACTTTTCTGAAGCATCACATCTTATTTTCAAAATAGGGTGGTGCTTAATTAATGCACAGGGGTATAAATAAATACATAAATAAAATAAATGAATGAACGAATGAATGAATGAATGAATGAATGAATAAAAAAATTAATAAACACACACACACGCACGCACACGCACACACACACACACACACACACACACATACATACATACATACATACATACATACATACATAACAAAAAAATAATAATATTAAAAAAAAAAATGTAACAAAAGCCATAAATAATTAACGTTCCCTTAAACGAACATTACATATCCACTTTTTTCTATTCTGCACCAAGATGTAACATGTTGCATCATTACACTGTTACAAAACAAAACATTCATGTTTCTTTTACAAATGTTTTAAGACTGATCTCATTTTGGTGGTTTTGAGACAATGCAATAGACATGCAGTTAGCTGCCCTTCTTGTTCAAAATTTCAAGATCACAAAATGAGGCCTATAGCTCCAGTTCTTTTACAGTTTGTACCTTCTAGTATCCCCCCCACATACACATTTTCATGAGTATCACAAATATTCTTCAATGTATGTACAAATGTAGCATTTATCAACTGAGACAATAAACCATTTCAGAAAAATGAATGACGTGAGTAAAATGCCATATCTGAAGCCAAATGAGAAACTGACACAACCTCATACTTAGCATTTGCATACCAAATTATGATTCATCTTGAGTTTATTAGTCCCATATACTATACCCATCAGCTAATACCTTTCTTGGTGTCATCACATCTACTCTTGTTTGGAGTCTGTTCTCCCCTTCCTGAAAAGTAAAATTATTTATCACCAAGTGCAAACATGTTCCTTTAGCATAAAGGAATGCTTACCATTATAATATTTCTTAAAAGTGTCTCAAATTGTAATAACCTTTTTGTCATGGGTTTCTCCTTCTTTTGCATCTGGCAATGAGTCTGTTAGGACAATACATGTGAAAAATATGATATTTTGCCTACTTTGGTACAAATCCAGGCATCAGCAATGTTTTCATTTCAGGGTACATGTAAGAGTGAGTAGGTGAGTTAAGTTTTACGCCACACTCAGCACTATTCCAGCTATATGGCAGCGGTCTCTGAATAATCGAGTCTGTACAAGACAACCCAGTGATCAACAGCATGAGCATCGATCTACCCAATTGGGATAAGATGACGTGTCAACCAAGTCAGCAAACCTGACCACCTGATCCTGTTAGTCGCCTCTTACGACAAGCATGGGTTACTGAAGATCAACTCTAACCGGTATCTTCATGGGTTCATATAAGAGTGGATCATTGTAAATGGTTAAAAATGTACTGTTTCTTTGTTGGCTCTAGAAATTGCTAAATATCAACAAATGCTTCATCACACACTCTAAACGAATTACCTCTTGCATTTAGGCACTATATACCATCCATACCTGTGCTGACCATGAACTTGTTTAAACAATGATGATTTTATTTACCACTAAGTTACCATCAACCAATGTTCATCCAGTGACATAAAAATCAGTCGAGTGCAATTTTTTGTTATTAGAAATTTACCTATGACCCTGTCATAATTTTGTGGGCTTTTAGGTGTGTGTGTGTGTGTGTGTGCGTGTGCGTGCGTGCGTGCGTGCGTGCGTGTGTGTGTGTGTGTGTGTTTTATTCCTATTTGAAATCGGTGGCAATAACACATTCTTTAAATAAAACAACTATTTGACACAATCCAGCTTGATCATATAACCTTGGGAACATTAATAAGAAAGGTTACTGTCATAAAAACATTAGCCCTCTCAAAAGTAGTACATATTTTAAGCTCATTGCCTAATCACCCAGATGGCTTTAGCAAGTTTCTTAAAAAGATATTTTTCAAATTCATTTGGAATGGTAATAATGATAAAATAAAAAGAATCACAATGAAAAGATTAAAGGCTGAAGGGGGACTGGGTATGGTTGATATAAAAACCATTTATTGAAGCTCTAAAATAATCCACTCTTAGACAATAATTACTGTAAAAAATCATCCGACAATAATCCTTTTAATATATCTTATAATGATATCTTCAAGTATGGAGCAAATATTCACAAAATACTTAACATTGAAAACCCTTATTGGAAAGATGTTTAAAAGCATGGAACAATTATTGCAAAAAGGTTAATGCTGATTCTGACAATACTGATCACAACCATTACAACCATTATGGCTCAATCATAATCATAAAAATACTTATATTAGACACTGGGCGGATAAGGGTTTATTGACAGTAAAGGATGTATGTGATGAGCATGGATTTATGCCTTTTGATAAGTTAAAGATACAATACAAAATAAGAGGAACACTATTAGACTATAACTATCTACTTCAAATCTGACCTGATATTTGGAAAAATGTTATTAAAAATACAGTTATCATTCCTTCCTACAATTCATACATCAATGTTTACCAAAGAATTGAAAATCTTAAAATAAATTGTATATTTATATACTTATCCTATCTCACGGTATGCACCATCTCTCTCTTCTACGACCATGTGTGGAAACATGCTGTCAGCTAAGTTGAGTCAAATCTAACTGGCCTCTGACCCGCCCTGACCTCTGCCTTCACCCCGACATCAATGCCTGTCAATCATCCATCAAAGCGTGCGGCTCGCCTAAACGATCACATGACCACCTCTACTTGTCATTCTCGTCTTGGAGCTTCCAGTAATCTGTGATGTGGGGCAGGTTGGGTGGGTCCTATCTCGTGAGATAGGACAAGTATATAAATATACAATTTATCATCAAATTTTCAAATTTTTAAACTTATCCTATCTCACGGTATGCATAATCCCACGGTTGGTAGGCGGGTCGCAGATTACCCGGTTACTACTACCACCGGGGAAACGCATAACTCAAGGAGGCCAGGAGAAAGCACCATCTCCCGATATGCAAACTCCAAACTTGAGATGTTTTTGTTGTTGTTTTTTTGTTTTTCCAGGTAACCCCTTGGCTTACACAGCACAAAAACTCTAAGGAGTGGGCGCTCCCGTGTTAATGTGATTTTCAGCCGCAACCTTTGACAAGCAAAAGGACTCAGTTTGGCAAGTAGGCCCCGCCGCCCCGCGATTTATCAGGTGACCCCAGTGAATTAAAGTCGAGGACCTTAATCTGGACAGTCCCTGCTTCGAAACTATCCCCCACAGACACACGCTGGAAGGCGGTGAAAGAGGGAATAGCCTGGTTGCTCAATTAGTTTAACGTTCAGTACCAATCTCCCTAACTTACCAAAGGTGAGAAAGGACTTAGGAGCAGAACGCTTTGAAAACCATACAGGTAATCGGGATCAGCACTTCACTGACGTGATTGCTCAAAGAGTAGAGGTCAGTAAGCGGAATGCCGACCTTCTCTACATGTAGTACAGGACTTGCCTCATAGTCTTCTCGCCATGGTGTGACAGTACCAACACGTCTTAGTTCCCTAGGTGAGAAGGGTCTAGACCCAGGTAAAAAAGTACCAAGATATGGATAACATCGATATCTTTTATTATGTACAGAGCAGAACCGACCGAAGAAGGATTGCTTTATCTGCGAGCGCGGGCCGAAGACAGTTGCTGTGCCAGAACCAAGGGGCCGAATTGATGTAGTCCTTCCACATCTGTCAGTGAGAGGTCCCGTAGGTAGTGTGAGGAGAACACAGTATCCGATCTCCAAAAACAGCCCTCCATGATGGACTGATGGGAACAGTTCCTGTGAAGAGCCATGGTTGACGCAAGAGCTTGGGTCTCATGAGGCTTGGCCGTTGCTGGCGGAGGTAGGTCAGCAAAGATACAGGCACGCAGGATCGTAGTTCTCATCCAAAAAGCCAAGGTAGTACGGGAGACTTCCGAAGACGAGGCAGTAGATATAGGGATGAACATTCTCTTACGTAGTCTTCGACGATCCTGCTAGGCATCTAGATAAATCCTCAATGCTCGAACTGGGCATAAGGAAAGATCTTCCGTGTCTTCTGGTCCAAAGATGGTAGACAATGGTGGGATCGTAAAGATGCGATCCAGTTGTCATGGTAACTGATTCTTGGCCAGGAAATCCCACCGCAGACCAAGGAAAACTTTCGCATGTCTAGTCTTTTCAAATCGTACTCGAGACACATCCAGAGCATGCAACTCAGAGATAGGGGCCCCTGTAGCCAAGGCCAAGAGAAAGAAGGTCTTGAAGGAGATTTGTTCAAAGTCTTTATCCTTCAAAGGTTCATATTCAGCCGATCTGAGATGAGCAAGTACAACAGAGAGATCCCAGGCTGGAGGCCGGAACTTCTGGGATTGATCAGCCAATTTGAAAGACCTTAGGAGAGACTGGAGTTCAGGAACAGTGGAAATCTTCACACCCGAGGCTGTAGCAATAACTGTGTTAAGAGCAGCCAGATAGGTAGATAAAGTTGATCCTTTAAGTTTCCTGGAGGTCGGGAGATGTTGAAGATATTCTGCCACCATCTGCGGGGATGCCGTAGTAGGAGACAAGATGCCCTTCTTCCTGCAATAAGCTTCAAAACTTTTCCACTTGTCATCGTAGAGTGACCTGGTAGAAGAACGATGAGCTGTAGTGATGGCAGTGGCAACACGTAAAGAATAACCCTTAGCCGTTAATGATTGATGTAGATGCGCCAGGCGTGCAGATGGAGCGTCAGCGGACACCAATGGAGTTGATCGGAGTGTGGATGAACCAATAGATCGGGTCGATTGGGGAGCGGCACGGGATCTGGTTCGGCTAAGTCTTGAAGATTTACAAACCAACTTCTGGCTGGCCAGTAGGGCGCAACCAAAAGCAGAGTTATCCTTTGAGTTGCACGCAATTTCACCAGAATGCGAGGAAGAAGGGCCACTGGCGGAAACGCGTAAGCGTTCAAATCTTCCCTTGGAATGGCCAGAACATCTAGGTCCCAAGCTAGAAGGTCCGGTATTGGTGACACAAACCGAGGTAGCTGATGATTGAACCTCGTGGCGAAGAGATCTACTGTTGGAAACGTCATTGGAAGGTAAAGAGTCTGAAACACCTGGGGATGTAATTTCCATTCCGTTGGAGAGGGACGACTCGGTCGAGACAGAGCATCTGCGATGACATTCTTCACCCACTGAATGTGGTTGGCCCGCACCAAGATTTTGAGAGAATCCACCAGGTTGAAGAATCGTTGTGTCCACTGTAGAAGTCGTGGAGACCCTGTTGACCCCATTCTGTTGATATGCCACACCACCGCTGCGTTGTCCGATCTGACCATGAGAGAGGTTGATTGTAGAACATCCTGCCAGTGACTGATTGCTAGAATCACTGCCCTGAACTCCAGAATATTGATGTGAGAAGCGTGATCTTCGGAAGACCACAGCCCTGTCACTTGTAGATTGAGAAGGTGAGCTCCCCACCCGTGTTCCGACGCATCCACATACAGGTGGTGAGATGGAACAAACGGCTCTAAACAGACTCTGTTGCAGACATTCAATTCTATCATCCACCACTGTAGATAAGGACGAAGCTCCAGGGTAGAGTGATCAAAGCACCGGGATTCCCCACTCTGATGTAAGGTGCTAGAAATAGCTGTAACGGACGAAGTTGTAGTTGACCCCTAAGGGTCAACGCCTGAGCCGACGTCAAGAGGCCTAGGAGTTCCTGCCATTGACGGAGCGTCCTGGCTTGCGCTAGAGCTAGGGAGACCAACCGCTGTATCTGCAGAAACGATCCCTCGGGACAAACATTCTGTTGACCTGTGTGTCGAAAACAGCTCTGATGAATTGAAGTCGGCGCGTTGGGACTAGTTCCGATTTCTGCAGATTGATTAACCATCCTAATTGGTGAAGAAGCTGTATCGCAAACTGCATGTGACGAACCAGAAGTGCATGATTGTTCTGTGCCTGAATGCAGTCGTCGATGTAGGCTT